GTGACTGAGCTCAGTGGTTCATGTCTGTAATCCCAGCAGGTTGAGGGCTGAGGCAGAGGATCACTTGAGTCCAGCCTAGGCAACACAGTGAGACCACAGTTATACAAAAAAAGTAAAAGAAATTAGCTGGGGATGCTTGCACTAGCCTGTAGTTCAAGTCACGTGGGAGGCTGAGGCAGGAGGATCACTTGAGCCCAGGAGATTGAGGCTGCTGTGACCATACCAGAGCACTCTAGCCTGGATGACAAAGTGAGACCCTATCTCAAAAAAAAAAAAAAAAAAAAAGACTCATTCCAGCCTAGTTTGCTGTATACTACTTGTACTTGGTGATGAGTTGGATTGTGCACCTAGTTTTATGGCTTCGTGAGGAGAATGCACCTAGTCCGGGATGGGCATATTGGGTTGTGTCCTTAATGGGGCTCAGTAGTGACTGAAGACCTATTGTCTCAATGAAGGATAGTGATTTCTCGCTCTAACATATTAAACATTTCCACAGTGGATCACCTATAGAGTCCTGCAGGTTCTTACACAGCATCTTCATTTTCCAGTCTCTCAGAGCACCATTGGGTCTGTTGGATTTGGAGAAATAAAAATAAATCCAATGGCCCCCAATCAACTGAGCAGACACCTTTTTGAACGTAGGAACCCCAGAGAAATCGTCAAAACCACATTCCCAGCTATGATGGGAGGGGAGGTCGGCTATGCCTCAGTACGTCCCTTCCTTATTCATCTTTAACCAGAATTCTCTCCAGTCCTATCTCCTTCAAGACTGGATCTTCCCATTCTTTGCAGGAGCTGAAGCCTCCCTGGGCAGAGAGGTGGCAGTGAGCCCTTGTGTGCTGGAGGAAGAGGTGAAGGCTGCAGGTTTATGAACGCCCCCGAGGCTCCTCCTGGCCTCTACAGACCCAGAGAACAGCCCTTCCAGGGTGGTTTCCTGGAGACCCCATGGGAGTGACCTGCGGGAAGGCCACCGCAGGAATAAAGCTCACAGCACCAGTTCAGGGATGCCCTTGATCTGGCTCCTACACTTGCCTGCAGGTGCACCCTGAAAACACCTTAAAAGGATGCTTTTTCTGCCTTTTCTTCATGGCCACGTGATCGAAGGCAGCCCCAGGCGGAGGGGGACCAAGAGGATATGGGTGCAAGGGCAGAGTCAGAGAGTTGTGGATGGAGCTGCCCAGCCTAGAGTTGGGGTGCAGAACTGGGGAGATGGGGAAAAAAGAGCGATCTCAGCCTTAGGTGGCTGCATGGGATCTTTGTTTCCCACGCAAAGTGCCTGGCTGTTCAGCCAGCCCAGGTGCCCACTGCAGCTTATAGGTCAGCAGTCCTCAACTGAATGTGATTCTGGCCCCCAGGAGACATTTGGTCATGTCCAGAGATATCCTGGTTGTGAGGACTTGTGATGGCAAAGTCGGGGGAGGGATTTTCCTACTAACATCTAAGGGATTGAGGTGAAGGATGCCGCTAAATGTCAGACAATACACAGGACAGCTCCCACCACAAAGAATGATCTGGTCCCAAATGTCACAAAGTGCTGAGATTGAGAAACCCTGTTGTAGGTGTATTTTTGTCTCTGTAGGTCTATTTTGTGTCCGGGGTAACCTGTATTTTGTGTATTTTGTGTCCCTGGTTGCAAGAGGTAGAATGGAGCTGGGTGCATCCCAGTACTGAGATGTTTGCTCTGCACCTGTGTGTGAGCCATCTGCAGTGATGCCAGAGTAGGCAGAATTCTGTCCACCGGTCAGGGGAGATGGGGGAGCCTGGCCTCAAGAGCTGCAGCTGCTCCAGCAAGCAGGAGGCGGGATGGTGGACTGTAGGGGTGAGGCAGGGGCTTGAGGGCAGGGGGAAGGTTGAATCAGACTCTTGATTGGATCAGACACTGCGTTGTGTCACTGCCAAGAGTACCAAGGTCCCTGCTAGGGTTGGAGACCATGAGTCTAAAATGGGGTCAGGGAGTGACATCTGGTACAGAATGTTAAAAACAAACCAGTTCAGAAGACCAAAATCATTGTCAGTCAATGACAATGACTTTTACAAGGTGGACTCTCACAGTTCTCTGGTTACTTCTGTTTTTCACTTGGGGAGAGGAGGCTCAGAGTTGCAAAGTGCGTTCTCCAAAGACACACAGTGAGATCTTGGGTTTCCACCTTGGGTTTGATGCCTCCACAGCTTGTGGACATTTCAGAAAATTCCCTCTGGAAGCCAGAGTGGAGTGGGTGCAGAGGAGAGGAGATGAGGAGGAGAATGGGGCAGCAGTCCAGGAGAGGGGATGGAGAGGAGCAGAGCAGGTGGAGAAGTGTTTAGTAGGAGAGAGGTCGCCCAGCAATGGGAGTGATGGGGAGGGAAGGTGGCTGATGCTGGGGCATGGTTTCTGGGCAGGGCGGCTGCGTGCTCAGACTTTCCTTCCATGTCATAAGTGTGGTCTTTTCATGTGGGATATGTCATCTTCACTCCAGTCAAGTTCCTCACCGTCCAGGTGATTCTGTGTTCTCCAAGAGCTGGGCTGACTCCTTCTGCGTGGGGCGGGGGATACTTGGGGACAGTGTCCTAGTGAGACTACTAGAGGGTGTAATGATGGGTGGGCACCGTCCAGAACCAAGGATTTCAGACTCTCTTATAGCAATGTGGCTCACAATATTCATGAAAATATTCTTGTTTTCTTTTATGGTAGAATTCAGGTGCAGAGGTTTGAGTCCATGATATTTCCAGTTTGTGGCTTTTGATTAACATTGGTTTGTGCAAGGTCCTTCTCTTATTTGTTCATCCCATTTCTTTCACTTCGTTTCCATTCTTTTTCTGACAGGCAATTTCACATACTTAATATGCACTTTTCAATTTGTGTATGTTCTTTTTAAGAGGCTAATTGTTTCCATCTGCACATATTTTTATGTGACTTCTAAAATTGTAAATTAATGGACTTTATTAGAGAAGTTTTAAGTTTGTAGAAATATTGGTCAGAAAGTATAGAGAGTTCTCACATACCCCTCACTCCTGCATGTGGGGTCTTCTCTCCCATTAGTGACATCTTGCATTCCTGTGGCACCTATGTTATAATCGATGAACCAATATTGACACACGATTATTTACCAAGCTCTCTAGTAGTCTCTGAATATTGACATCTCGCATTCCTGAAGCACCTGTGTTACAATTGATGAACCGGTCTTGACACATCATTATTAACCAAGTTCTCCAGTAGCCTCTCCTATTGTTGACATCTTGCATTCCTGTGGTGCAAATGTTCCAATTGATGAACCAATATTGACGCATTATTATTAACTAAATCCTATAGTTTACATTAGGTTATACTCTTTGCATTGTGTATATGGGTTTTGACAAATGACATTGGTTCATTATCACTATACCATTCAGAATAGTTTCATGTACGTGTATTGTTAATGTGACCACATGGAATTCTGCTAGAGTTCATTCTGGTTTTTGTTTTTTCAATAGTATTTTAAAAATTCACTCACATTACTATGTGTGCCTCTAACTCCTGCCAAAAGCTCTATACCCTTTTGCCTCTATGTCCATTGTTTGCCTCTGTATCCTTTTGCCTGCCTTCTCTCCGGTTAGGGACAAGCAGCCTTATCCAACATCCCCACTAAAATAACTGCTGCAGGGAACATTCTCTTACATGTCCCCCTATAAACAGGTTTCAGAAGTCAGGATAGATACACAGCAGCAAGTTTGCTGGTACACAGAGCATGAATCCCATTAAAACTTTTTATTTCCACCGTTCTACATTCCCACTAATAGTGTGTAAATATTTCCTTTATTATTATTATTTGAGACAGAGTCTCCCTCTGTCACCAGCAGGCTGGAGTGCTGTGCTGCTATCTCGACGCACTGCAGCCGCCACCTCCTGGGTTCAAGCAATTCTTGTGCCTCAGCCTCCGGAGTAGCTGGGATTACAGACGTGCACCACCACACCCCGCTAATTTTTATATTTTTAGTAGAGACAGGGTTTCGCCATGTTGGCCATGCTGTTCTCAAACTCCTGGCCTCCTGTGATCCTCCTGCCTCCACCTCCCAAAGTGTTTTGATTACAGACACGCATGAGCCACCGTGCCCAGCCCATAGTGTGTAAATGTTCCTTTCTCCTCAGAGCCCAACCGGCACTGGACATTTTATAATTTTGGGAACTGTGAATTTCACTGTATACAGTGAAATTCCACAGCTGTCTTTCATTTTCCCCTTCCCTCCATTTTTTTCTTCCTTTATTTTGAGCATTCCTTCATTTGCCTGAGTAACCGACCTCACATCCTTTGCTCATTCTTGGATTAAGGTACCTACTTCTTGATTTAACTGGTTTCTTGTTTGTTCTAGATACTGTTCCCCTATCAGTTTTTAAAGAAATTTCCCACACTACATGCATGTGCTCCTGTCAGTTTTAGACAATTCAACTATCATTTCCCATCTGCCTGTTAACTTCATCCCGTAAATCCTTTGTTGAGCAGAAATCCTCAATGTTGAATTTTTTTCTTGTTTTAAAACTAATCTTAATGATTGTGCTTTATGAAATTTTGTTTAGGAAGTCTTTCCTCAAGCCTAGATCACAAAGTTATTCTCCTGTGCTTTCTTCTATTAACTTTATACTTTGATATTTGGTATTTATTCCTTGAATCCATCTGGATTCCTCCTCTGTGTGTGGTGTTAGGCAGAAATGCAGATTTACTTTGCTTCATAAAATGAGCAGTTTTCTCACTACAACTGGAGAACACTCTACCTTTTCCTCTTGACTCGTGCCACCACATTTCTCGTGTACTATGCTAGGTTTTGAATAATGCAGGGATATTTTCTGAGATTTCCAATCAACTTGCTGAGATCTGTCTGTTCCATGTTTCATAATTTTTAAAATGACTGCAACTGTATTGTGTGCCTCAGCACCTGAGAAGGAACAGCTCTTAACTCCATTTTTATAATATTAGTATGGTTTTGTGTCGACATTTATGAATGTATGTATGTATGTATTTATTTGAGACAGTCTCACTCTGTCACTCAGGCTGGAGTGCAGTGGCCCCACCTCCACTGATTGCAACCTCTGCTTCTCGGTTCCAAGTGATTCTCCTGCCTCAGCCTCCTGAGTGGCTGGGATTACAGGCCCCGCCACCACACTCGGCTAATTTCTGTGTTTTCAGTAGAGAAAACTTTTCCTCTTGATTTGTTTTGATTTAGTCATGTTGATTATGATTTGATTTAGTCTTGATTTCGTCATGTTGGCCAGACTAGTCTCAAACTCCTGGCAACAAGCAATCCATCCGCCTCAGCCTCCCAAAAGTGCTGGGGTTACAGCGTAAGCCACCGCGCTAGCCTGACATTTATTTTTCTGGAGCAATTTTCAAATAGATTTTTATCAAATGTATGGTCGATTCATTGGAACTATAAACACGATTTTATTGAGATTATAATTTGAGTATGAATTGACATCATCGGCACACAAGCCATCCCACCCAAGACTGTAAACTCTGTGTGTTTAATCTTCTACATTTTTATTAGTATGTATTTAATATTTTTTTCTTTGGAGGTGTGGCATGTTTTGGGTTAATTCCTAGATATTTTACAGCAGAATTTTTCAAAGTATGATATGAGGACCTCTACAGGGTGGTCCCTGAAGTCCTTATTTTTCCAATTATATGTGAGAATATATTTTCATCATATGCTTCAACTAAGACAGCATATTGCCACAGACTGAGTGAGGAAGCTGTTTCCCACCAAGCCAGTACATAAGATGTATTTGCTAAAACGTCAAACAAGGCCACTCTTCTCACGAAATGCTTTTTCTTATTGTGGTTATTTGCCTGAAAATGTTACTTATATTTGTAAGAGTTAAAGCAAGAGGAAAGAAACCTGAAACACGGCTTGGCAGTTAAAGACAGATTTATTTTAGATAAAACCCAAGAGGAACTTCTGGCTGATTTCAGTTGGGAGCACTTTCTCTTACAGACTAAGAGTATATATTGGTTTTAGGATGAGGGGTTTATTACAAGCTTAGAATGTTTCTGCGTGAGAAAGAAGTTTTATTGGGTTGGAATGTCTCTGGGAGGAGGGGAGGTTATCTTGGGGCACACATCTTTCCGCCAGTGTGTTATCTTGAGGCTGGCATCTTCCCATCTGGAAGAGGCTTATCTCAGGGCTAGCATGTCTCTGTTTGAGGAAGAGTTTGGAATATCTCTGGCTGGAGATGTTATCTGTGGTTTATGGTTGTGCCGACCTTAGCCATTAGCCTGAGGCTTTTTGGATTTAGGTGGTTTTTTATTAAGATGAACTTTAGAAAAAGGGACTTGTCCAAGATGGCAATGCTCCTGCTCTGTCAATATTAGCATGCAATAGGTTTACGACTGCTCTTTTAAATGTACTAATAACTAATATTTAAATAATTTTCAATTTTCACTCCAATATGGTAAAAATGGACAGTTCTAAACCACAAAAACAAAAGCCCTTTAGAATGCTCAGTAATTTGAGGGTGTAATGGAATCCTGAGATGTATTTCTTTGTATTTTTCTTTATATTTTGTGCATTTGAAATTTTGCTTAGGAAGTCTTTCCTCCTGCCTAGATTACCAAGTTATTACCCTACACTTTTTCTATTAAATTTAAAGATAATGACAGAGACCACAATTACTTTTGCACCAACCTAATAGTTTGTGTTGCTGTTGGGAATGTTATCTTTCTCTGTATTCAACTTCTATTTCTTGAATGCTTGTTACTGGTGCAATACTAGGAGGAACACCGTAATATTTGCCCGATGACTTTGCCTTCTGCGTCACTGGGCTCTGTCGTTGTTCTAATAGATGACATCATCATTCTTTTATCTTCTCCAGATAGATGATCAGGTTTCTTCCCTCCCAGTCCTTAGATACGTTATTTCTTTTTCTTGCCTGATACCATCACTCATGGCTTTCAGTTCCATGTTAAAGAACAGCAGATTTAGTGAGTATCCTTGGCTTGTTCTTGGTCCTAAAATAATGCATCGAAAAGTTTCTTCATTTAGTGTAGTATTTGCTAATCTTGTGCCATATATTCTACATCTAGGTAAGAAAGTCTCCTTGAATTTTGTGTTGTGAAATGTTCTTTAAAAATCATATATAGAAGTAGAGTTTAAGAAAAATGTATTTTTGCCTTGATTGAAATAATCATGATTTTTCTTTTTAAGCAACTCCTGTGATAAATCGTATGATAAGTTTTCGGATGTTAGCCATCCTTGTCATTTATGAAATAAACCAATACCACTTTATTATGGTAAACCATTTTTAATACACCATTAAATTTGACTAGGTTATGGTTTTAATTTGGAATTTAAAATCTGCAAGTATAGGCGAAGTAGGCCTATAATCGTCTCTTTTTTTGGCAAACATTCTTACCTGATTTTAGACCAAGATTGCATTAACCTGATGAGATGTGCTGGTCAGATATCCTAATACTTTCTATGTTTTTGAAGCTCGTGTATAAGATATTAACCAACTGTTTCTTAACAGTGATAATAATTATTACATTTTAATAAAACCCGCTGGGGCAAACTCACCATCTTAGAGAGAGACAATCTTTGACTACCATTTCTATTTCTTGAGAGTTTATTTGAGCATACAGGATCCTCTTTTTTCTTGAACCAGTTTTAGAATTTTATGTTTTTCTAAGTATTTGGTCATTTCATCTACAATACAAATTTATTATTTTTTAAAACTTTTTATTCAAAAATATCCATTGTCTCTGTAATGATTTACCATTTTTAATTTTGGGCTTTGTTATTGGCACCTTCTCCTTGTTTCCCTCTGTCTTCTCAAGCTTTTCTAATACTTGATCTTGGTTTTATTAAGCATGAACTTTGATAAATCTATTTAGTGCTGTATATTTCCCTCAAAGTACTATTTTAGGTTAAAATGTTGACACTCGATATTTGAATTCTCGTTTAATTTTAAAGATTTCTTAATTTTTATGATTTACTCTTGAACCTGAAAATTATTTAATTATATAGTTAGCTTCCAAACATAGAAGATTTGAAAAGCTATTTCTTCTCTATTAATGTTTCATGTTAATGCATTATAATCTATATAACATTTGGACTTTAGAATTAAAGAGTTTTTTATATCTTAATGAAATGTTAATTTTTGTAAAAGTATATGTGTGCCT